TAATATAATTATAATTTAAAATTCAAAGGACTAAATATGCCGAAGCATTTGTATCTTTTAAATTCGAATTTGTATTGCCCATTTGGTGCAAAATTAATTTGAAATCAGATAAAGATTTATATGGGAGCTATATCCAAATCTGAACCGATCTGGATAAAATTTAGCAAAGGTATTTCTGAGCTGTATTTGATATACTTCCCTGAATATCGTTGTTACGGAGCGCATATTACGGCTGTGGAAAACAAATATGACAAATCGGAAATCGGATTTCGCATACTTATTTTCAGCCCTAATTTGGTTGTATGTGCAAAATTCCATACTATTCGGTTGATATTATACGTTTGGTGCACAATAAAAGGCAAATCGGACGAAGATATATAAATTTTTACCGATTATCTACAATTTCAATAGGGTTCGTCCTTGGGCCAAACAAATGTTGTTTGGAAAATTTCATTTCAATCGGATAATAAATGCGACCTGCATTTTGTTCACAAGAATACATAGACAGACAGACGGACTGACAGCTTAAATCAACCCAGAAAGTGATTCTATGCAGATCATCAAAAGGAACTATGGATCTATCTCGTTTCCTTTTGCCTGTTACAAACAAATGCACGAAGACATAATACCCTGACCACCTTGTAGTGTAGGGTATAACAAATAAAAAAGGCTTTACTTTTTTTAACCTTCACCACTATGTTTATCGAAGTAAAATGATATAATGAATGATATGTTAACTTTGCATACTAATCCGTTTTAATTAAAATGAAAAAATAACCCAAACAGCCAAACCCATTATATCATGTAATTTGGTTGGAAATTGTGGCAGATACATTCAAAATGCCGAAAATCTGGAGGTATCTTTATATGGGATCCATACCAAAAAGTGGATCCATTTTCAATACCAATCAGCATCCATATAATATAAATCTTTGTGCCAAATTTTAACACTCTAGATAAAATAAGGTAGAATCTATAGTCATTTTTACAGACAGACAGACAGACGGGCATCGCCAAATTGACTTAAAATTTCACGCTGATCAAGAATATACATATAATTTGACGGCAACTTCAACGACCAAGTTTATATACCCTCCGTAGAATGATGGAGGGTAAAAAATTACTCTTTCTTCGATCAATATGACTACACGTTTTTAAAAATAATCATACTAATTTAAAAAGGCCCCAAATTAAGTTAATTTGATTCTGCGTGGGCTATACTTTGCCAAAGTTCAAACGAAACTGTATTTATTAAAGTTGTTCTTGGCCAAAAATATTGTACAATGTAACGGAAACATAAGAACTGAGTACGCCATAAACTTGCTTTAAAACAAAAAAAAAACACCCACACATCTCCGATCCCATCCCGACCTTACCTACCTTCTACTATCCCCTATCTTATTTCGTCCTTTATGTAAGAAAAACAAAAAACGAGCTATTTTGGCACGGTGAGGCCACAGTCATGATATCGAAACAGAGTGAGCCAAAAAACACCTTTAACCGGATGCGGAAACATTAACCTCGAAATGTCAAAAAATATAACAGCAGCGAATTAAATTCTACTCGCTTTGTGGGTCAACACCAAACAGTTTCAATGGCTGTTTCCGTCTGCTTCTTGGCTTTATTGTATCGGAAAGGAAATCTACCTATAAACAAACTAAACAACAACAACAACAACGATAGCCAAAAATGAAAGGAAGACACTTCCTCGAACTCCAAAAAGGTCGTCGTCGTCGTCATCGCACTCGCAGTCGCAAAAAAACAAGAACTAGAGTCCCACACCATTGACGATATAAACGGAAATCAACTTATGTCAACAACTCCAGCCGAAAGCAGCAGAACAATACACGTGAAACTTGTGAACTTGTGCCGTTTGCAACGGGTGGGAGGAGATTCGGCAGAATGCCATGTAATGCAATCAGGTGCAAATGCTGTCTGCACCGCTAACACCGCGGTAAATGCCTCGCCAAAGTAATAGTTGTCTAGTGCTTCATTCCTTGTATGGGCTGTGATGCTATTTAAGAGCCACCCACCACAGAGGGCGGGCATTGCAGTAAAGAGTTCTGTTTTCCGCAAACAACTACCAGTATAGTTTTGTTCTCCATTTGGATTCGGAGCTATCATCCAAACGGAAATGAAAATAATATACTTTTCGGGGCAGGTAAACGGCAGAGGTGAAGTCCCTTTTGTGTGTGCGGTAAATGTGATATGGTCTGGATAAATGGGAGGTAACATTCAGTTGGGTACACGATTGGATTTATTGTAAACTAGAATAGTATGGTCTAAATCAAATTCAAGTGAGAGTTAAAAACCAGTTCCTGCTTCCACATCCGGCCAATTTTACCTTCAAACCATCGACAATCTTATGGCAAAGATTAGGGCGATTCAAACCATGAATGAGAAAATGAAATCTTTAATGTGTGGTTAATACTGAGAATATTATTGTTTGTTTTCTAAATAACACACAAAAACTTTGTTGGTACCACGCCCACTATGGCGATACTTATGGCATCATTACTTTCAAAAGTATGTAGTAGACACAAGAACTCTGTCAACATTTTGCTCATCCCACATTGCTAAAAATTCAAAAAAAAAACTTCATTTTTGGTTGAGCGGCAGCTAAACTCCAACAAAGTAAACTTTTGTTCGCCTCACTCGCAAATGTTATGCAAATCATAACACAGAACAAATGCGAAAAATTACATCGCTGTTTTGCAGACAATATGTTGTGTTGCGGTATGCTGCACTTTCGGATACATTCTGGTAGATTTAAATAGGAGCAGAAAAATAAATTTAGGGAGCATTATGATTTTTGAAAACTTCTGAAATTGTTGGGTAAAATAATTTTTATGTGGTACAATGAATAGGGTTATTACTAAGGTAAAACACATACGCTTTTAATACAAATCCTTTTCCTTGTGGGACATATTTTAAAAATATTTTTCTTTGAACTAATGGTACTTCTTCAGTTATAGACAAAACAATATAGGGATGCAAGGAGCAAGGGCAATCAAGCAGATAAGTTCCTATCCTCCTACCATTTGGAAGGAACTTGAAATAATAGATCTGTTTGATTTGACAAAATACCCGTTGAATGATGACCTGTATACGGGGGCTATATGAAGACGTGGATAGGTGCATAAGTTATTGTTTATCATAGGCTGTAGTACCCATTAAGAAATATGGTATTTGGTATTTTTTAGTGCCAACCTTGCTTTCCAAAATGCTCTAAACACAATAGCCCAACGGATTGGTATCCGGAAATTTGGTGGCCATTGTCCGCAGGAAATGAAGCAAGAAACCTGATTTTGTAACCATTTTTGGGTGGCACGTGCTGAGCCCTGTTGGAGTGCCTATTTTCGCGATAATATTCGGAATTTCTTCTGATGCCACGGTTGATAATGCCGGCCCATGCCATCACCATGGCCGGCGCTTGAGTTTTGGTGGCAAACCGATGGTGTACATTTTCAGCTGACCTCTTTGGCAAGTAAAAGCGTTCATTTTGTTTGCTTACAAACTTCTGGACAACGAATGTTTTCTCATCGGAGAAAACCAAATTCGGCAGTTCACCATTTTCGGCCAAGCGAAGCAACTCTTTAGCTCTTTTGAGTCTGTTTTCTTTCTAATCCGGTGTAAGTTTTTGCACTTGTTGGGGCTTTACCCCGAGCTCATTTTTCAATATTTGCCGAATGGAATATTGCGATATGTTCAGCTCACGAGCCATATTTCGGCCACTGCGAGGCGGGTTTCGATCAAATCGCTTCTTTAACTTTCGAAACATTTCTGCTGATGTTGCTGTTTTCTTCCATCCACTTCCTAGACTTCGGGCTACGCTACCAGTATCACGGCAACTATCGATGGTACTAGACGCAAAAGATCTATTCACATTTAAATGCTGGAGTGCTCTAATGATAATCACTTGTGGTTTTCCAGCCAAATATAAAGAATTCACACTATCACGCTTAAATTCCATCACGAATAACTTTTTTTCTGGAAAATTCTCACCAAAATGATTTTGTACGCTTGTAAACAAAATAATGAGCTGTCACTGGAATAATTTTAACAGCTGTCGGACGAGTGAAATAGAAATGACAATAGTCTCAAGTTGGTAGCAGTTTTTTCAGCTCACCCTGTATATTTACTTTGTAAGGTCTATCATGAATATTTCGAGGGGTTACAAACGGAATGACAAAGCTAATATACCCTCCATAGAATGGTGGAAAGCATAAAAAAACATGTATTGATGCTATGGAAAATAGTGGAACATTATTTTATGTTAGCTCAAGACATTCACTCATTTCCTCGTCGATCATCGTTACAAACCATGACAGATGGGTTCACTTTTCAATTTGAATAAATATTTAACAAGTTTCTGAAATAAGTTAATTGTTGTAATTGGGAATGTGTCAACACTTGTAACTGACAACCAACATAATTTGTTATTCACTTCTATTCCGTTCAAACGAAGCTAATGAACAAACATTCACAAAAACAAATACCCACATTTTCTAAGAATATTTTTTTTAATGGATATACAGCAGCCGAAGTAGCTAATTGACGGATTGTCACTTCCCATGTCAATAAATTTTATAACAATTTTAAGCACGGTATTGCTAAAGGTATATGGAATCTGATTGTAAAATCGGTATTGCCTGTTACAATATTTGAAATTGTTTGAATAAACATTTTAAAAGCCTTTTTTCTGTATAACAAATTTGAGTGAATTGTTCTCAAGAAGACTTGTCTGAAAAAGGGTCATGTTTTACACAAAAGATATATTAGGACTTGCAGTATCATAATGATGTTATAAACTCTGGTATAATTTTAATTATTTTAGAGGTTTTAGTAAAAGTTTTTGACCGTTACTATGCCATGCTTTTACTTTTTGGAGACAATCCGAGATTGATGTAATTATATTAAAGTTAAAGTTTAACTAACAAAATTTACTTTTCTATAACTTTACTAAATAAATGTAAACATTTTCATTTTTTTCGTTTCAGCATGGACTACACTAGTTTGGGCTGTTGTGCTCTGGCATTCGTCCTTTACCTGAACACCTTAAATTCTGGATTTGTATACGACGACAGGTATGTTAAGGAAATTAATAAAAATTATTCGCCGTAGGCTATGAGTCTATTCCCCACCCCCTCCCCCATTTATACCAAGAATCATTCGGGAGGATTTCTGAAAATGATTTATACATTCAAAGGGAATGGGAAACATTGTTTGTTATTGTTTCGACAAAGTACGCAAACACAAACAAACATAAATCCAACCAAATCTAAAGCTACGAGATATGTTGGCCGAACAACAAGTTCTATTTGAAGAACCGTTCGTTCGTTCGTTCCACACCACCCCATACCATCCCACACAACCAGCCTCACCAACCCATTCAAATTCACGTAATCATAACCAGTGTAACAACAATACAATGTTGTTGTATCACAGCCAAGCTGCAGTAAATTTGGGTATAAACATAAACATGACTTGCAAATAACAATGTACTCGTCGTAAATCCCAAATGGAAGGAAGATGAAGGAAAGTTTTTTGCCAGGCGTTTCGGTTTTTCCATTCATGAATGGAGTGAGTCCACACAGAATCTAACTCCAAAAATATATATGTCTGAAATGCTAAACAATTGTGTGTAGAATTATGGAAAATATTAAATATCATCTTTGAGAAATTAAAGAAAAAACGACTTGGCATAGTTACGTAGCAGTAATTCTGTATAATACCAGCTGAAGTTCTTATCTGTATAGGATATCCCTATTGTTCAGCCACGATTCACTGAGACGCCATGAGAAGAATGGGCTGTCGTAGTAAATTTGTTTGCAACAACTCTTATTGCCGCAAATGTAATTTGCTTATCTCGATTTATTGAGACAAAGCAACAGCAGCAGAAGAAATGACAGAGCTAAGCAATCAACATCAAACCTAAATGCGTTGACTGGTCAAAGTAATTCTAAATTGGCATTAAAATTATTACTTCGATAGAAAGTTGTTACGGCCTATAATTTCCGTTGGTCATTCGCCATGAAAGAGCGCAGAATGAACAAAATAAAAAAGTTTGAACATAAAGGCGATCATTATTATTTCATCTGCTTCTTGAATGCTTTTTAAAATGTAGAAAGTGAGGTAAACAACGCCAATGATTAGAGGCATATTAAAGTGAAACGCAAACGTCATAAGGAAATTGAAGTGGATGTTATACCGTTGGTTGTTTTCATTTCATATTGTAACCTTTGAATCCAGAAAGGATATATTTCCTTGGAAAATTAAATAAACATATATCTCTAATATGCATAGATGGTCTGACATACTTTTCCGACGTATCATACATACGTCGAAAAAGTGGTAAACCTAAGCAAATGATAAGAGTTTTTGACAGAAACAAGGTTGTTGAAAATTTATCTAGCTAATTTTAATAGCTAATGCCCATATATTTATCATCTGAGAAATCATTCCATACAATTCATATACAGCAGCCTTCTTTACTGGTTACAGGGAGTGAAGGTAGAACGACAATCAACAACGGCTTTTTTAAAAAAACAAAACACAGGTGCTCCATTCTTGTTCTATGAAAACCATTTTATTAAGGCGACAAATGTGAAATGAAAAATTTAATAAAGAAAAAAATTAATTTCGTGTTTTCATAGAACAAAAATTCGATCTCAGGTTTTAAGCTCTCTGATGTAACTTTGCCTGATTAGGAAGATTTACGCTTGGTAAGGGATGTTAAACTAAATAGATTAGACTAAATAGTGTTGTCTTACTAAGATATTTGACCATGTCTGAAGCATTTTTATCTTGCAACAAATCAAGTGTTGATGTTGATGCAACATTTCAAAGTATCGATTTTCTAAGTGTATCAAATTTATGAAATGGCCCAATAAATGTTTAATCGAAACGTAATAAAAAAATAACCTGTACGTTTCGAAATTATCTATCTAACTTCCATGAGGTATTCTGATATGACCTAGTCCATTTGGGATTTATCTAATACATAAAATGTTCCTTTCACATTATTTAGGGACATTGGAAACGATTTAAAACAAAGGTTTAATCGCTTGTGGTAATTTGAGATTAAGTATAAAATATTAATCATCCTCTGTGATTTTTACAAAAATGTTACATCTAATATTACCGAATACTGACTTGATTTCTTTATTACCTGTAGAGTTTTAAAAGTCACAATTACTAAGCTTCATAACATATTTCACAATTTCTTCTGCTTCTTCAAAGACCATTTCGTCTTAAGGCTGTAATTGTCATAGTAATGTATATATATATAAATTTTCAAAACAATGCAATTAAGAATTGGAATTAGCCAGCGGCCTTTTCTTAGACCAAGAGTTTCGAAATAAATAGCCATGACGAAGGGGGTTTTCTTTGCAAATACTTTTAGACGAGATCTGTTCTACCTTAAAAAATGTACCTACACATATCTACGAACTACATTAGAAAAGTGTACACATACATATCTACGAATTAGTACTCAATACACACATGATCATAAATCCCCAAATATGGCCCACTTACGAATATTTGAGTACCTCACAATACCTTAAAGAGGTTTAGTGTAACATTAACACAAATTTCCAGTTATTGCACAGAGCAAAGCGGCAAAACTGTTTATGAAGCTACAAAGAGGCGTTTAAGTAAAACCGAAAGTGTTTAACGTAATGGTTTAATTTTTCCCACACTTCTCTGTCTTAGTTCTCTGTCCACTTACCAACCACCATTGAATCCATCGTCATTGAAAGAATATTTTTTCATAGCTGTCGGGGTTTTTTTCAGTTACCTACGCTTCCACTTGCCACACTTTATTTTCTTCTTTCGAACACAAAGTGGAACCCGAAACAGTTGTGTGCTTTCGTTTTAGTTTCAACACGACAGATGTACGTACATAGGATCTGGATCGGGCTTTAAAAGGTCTATGCATACTCATTATTTGTTTCATGTCTGTTTCACAAAAAAAAAAAAACGTAACTTCGCACATTCACACGTACAATTCAGAGAGGTGGCCACCGAATATGTTGGTTAATGGTTGAGAAAAACCAAAAAGAGAACGTTTTGCAACTCGTGCCTTCAACGTAGAAAATTGAAATCAGCCAAACAAAATAAACTGAAATTCAGACTGACAGGAGCAAGGCTGGCAGTCAGACGGGCAGACAGACAGAAATACAAGGCATTCAAATTCCAGGGATTTAATTCATACACAAGCTGATGCCGGTCTTGCAAGTCTTCGCGCGAATTCTGGCAGGAGAATGAGAGATTTGTATATGCATGAGCTTCAACACTCGCCTTGTCATTCATTGTCTATTCGGGGAAGAAACATTCAGAACGGCCTCTGGGATACCGCCACGGCGGCAATGGCTAGTACTGCTCTGTATGCCGTATGGCGCACACCCTCTGTACGTGTATTGATTTCAGAACAGCGCTAAATTTCCCATGCAAATGTGTAGGGCACAAATTCGAATATTCCCCAGAGCTCAAAGTGGCGGCGGAAGTAACGGTTATAGGTCGCCGGCCCACTCTTTCCTTTGCCATACACATATGCCTAGATACATGTGTATGTACGTGAATGTATGCGAGTGAGTATTTATGTCGGAGCATTTAGTAAAGCCACCGTAAATATGCGATATTTCTACGAAAGGCAGCCAACACTTGCACAATTTGAAGCGTCGGTGGTGGTGGGGGTGGCTGTGGCATCGTTGTTAAAGTCAAGCTAAATTGTCACACAACGTGATGTTAGGTAAGCATACACACGCACACTTTGTATATCTGTGCTTTAGAGGAGAGTGCGTGAGTAGATACCAATTTTCTTGGGAGCACGACGCAGCGACATACATAAACACCTTGATGCTACTATTATTGGTGTTGTTGTCAATGTTCCCTTTGTATATGTTGTTGCTTTTCTACCACCTTTCACATATATACACACACACACACGTATGAACTTCATGCCTGTATGCAGAGATAATAACAACGATGATGGTGATGACGATGATGATGATGACGACGAAAATGCTCACATTCAATGTCGCCGTACAACTTGCGTTTACCTACGACATACCATCACGGCCCGAGCAATGCCGACAGTAAAGGCTATGACAAATACAATGAGCAACACTTGTTGTTGTATCTGCTTGATTCCATAGTCGTGCAAATGCTGATGGCAATAACGATGATGACAGTGATGGCGATAATGTTTCGTCTCTTCTGTCCTGTCCTCTGCTCTACTCTACATTAACAACGACATCGTAACGCGAACAGGTCCTCTGATTGTAGCAATGCTCTGCTTACAAAAGTACAAAATCACTCAGAAACACCGCTCCACGAATGGCGCCGAATGAACGAATGGATGAATGAATGAATAAGTAAACGAAACGGGTAAATTCAGTGTTGCTCCTGCTGGTGTTAATGATAACACACTCCAGAACACTAGCTCACGCATACGTGTGCAAGGCAAGGCAACCGAACGGAAGTGCCGTGTACAAAGGAAGACTATAAAAGTTTGGTTAAAGACTTTCAGGAAGAATAATACAAAATGCCATATAGACCACAGCCTCATCAGCAGTATTATCACCGAGCACAGGGCTACACAACGGCGCTGGCGATGCGGAGAATACCCGACACACAATGAGGATGATCATTGCCGTAATTGTATTTACGACGATGGCAACGCACATTGGATGGATGCTAATGATGATGGTGATGATGATGAGGACAATGCTGTTGCCGATGAGTGTGAGATGGTGTTGTACAAAGACATACAAACATACATATTTCGAAAAGCCGTGTGAGGGGTAAGACTACATGAGTAAATACTCTGCCATAGCCGAAATAAAGGGAAACACAACAACAACAATACCAGCAACAGTCAACGACAGAAGGAGAACTGGATTTGCCAAGAACTTCAATAATAAGAAGAGAAATTGAGTTGTTGTTGCTTTCTTAACGTAGAGCCTACAGTTCCAAACAATGCTTTGTAAGAAATGTAAAGAGATAACATCCCACAACAAGCGATTCTATAAAGAAAGAGGGGATGCATTAAAATATGCAATACAAAAATTGAATTTTATAATCCTTTAAAATATCACCTACGAAAATTTGTGATGGTGCTACATTCAGAACATATGGAAAATGTGCTGTTTAGTCACGAAACATACAAGCAGGTGGGATGGTAAGACCCTCTAGAGGCCAATTCTTGTTCTAAGGAAACGTGGAAAGATTTCAATGCCATTTCCTTAGGTCATTAAGAGATCAACTCGAAAGAGAAGTTATGAAATGATTTCATTCGAAGAAAGAAATGTCAAATTAAAAATTATAATAACGAAAATACGTTTCATAGAATAAGAATCCGGTTCTCTTCGCTTGTTGTCAAGACACGTTGGTCTAATTACATTTAGCAAAATAAAACTTAATTTTTATTTTTGCGAATTTTGCTAAAATTTCTGGACAATAAGCGAAAAATTGCTTTTCCTAATACCCGGGGCAAATATCAACCTTTCCTACTATGAGACGGCCAAACTAATAGAATCGCTCAAAAAGTTTAAACAAAGAAAAAAAATGTTTCCAAATTCTGAATGTCCCAATTGAACATATTCAGAATGTTTTTCTAATGTTGAAATTATTTAACTTTGTTAGTCTCTCTCTATTCATTTTTAACTGAACTGAATCTGATTACATTTTATATGATTAGTATGAAACGCTATTATTAGTATGGAATATTTTATATTATTATTAGGAATGTGTATGAGGAATTCGTCATGAAAATTTTAAGGCTATAAGTAATCTTTAAAAATTGGATTTTGGATATCTACCATATAAAGGATCCATGTGCCTGTTACATTCAGACTTTAAACACTTAAAAGTAATTAGAGATCCTTATAAGCCAAATAATACAAATATCGGACAGTCTACATTGCATTGTAGAAAATAGTTCTGAACGTTCAACAACGAACTACGCCATCATCTAAAGTGTAAATTTGCCACTCCAACGTTCTGCAATCTCACTCCTAAACGTTGTATATCTCAATACATAAACAACTTCAAGTTCTAGAGAATTTTCCTGTCATAATTACTTTGACTTTTGGCGTTGGGCGATATCCCACGAAAAACGCCATCTTAATGAATGAAACCGCAACGTCTCCTTCTCTCTGTGGATGGCAGACCATCAAAGTAAACATTTACATTTACTTTAAAATGTTCTTCGAGGTGAAAAGTCAAGCAGCACGTCGAACGATCCATTAAATCAGAACTTTATTGAATTCGGTTAACAACAATAAGTGAAACACACCCATTAACCGTGAACGGCTATTGGAGACAACATTAATCAAATCGGAAACGGCTGGTGTGCTTCGTGTTCCCCAACCACAGGGCCTTGCCATAAATTTCCCATTATACTTTAGAATTTTTCAATATTTCAGAATTAATAAGGCATAAAGTTGCTCATTTAAAATAAACTACAACAAATACTGCTGTTGCCAACACCGACAACAGCGGTATTGGCAGCTGGATAGTGGGCGGGCGAACGAAATGACATTTCCCATTCACAACCATGCAGCCACGAAATGTGACTACATGGTATCCAGCCATTTGTGAGCTGTTCTCCTGTCCATTTAATTAGTAACGTGAGCTTCACAGCCCAGGAAGATGGAACACCAGATGTGTTGGTGTGGTTGGGTGTGGGTCTGCCCCAATAGGTAGTAAATGTTGTGTGGCGCCAGGTGTTTTATTCGAACAAAGGACTCTTCCATGTTGTGGAATTGCAATGTAAACTGACGTAGGGCAACCGTAACCTCTCTTCCCGCTCTCTACTTTTCACCGATTTCATAATACTTGGAGATACGCAAATACGTCGTTTGAACGCGACATCGTAACTTTAGAACAAATCGACAATTAATCAACTAAGTAAACTGTTGCAGCACCAGAGATGTATTCACCCCCACTCCCCCTTGGTGAGCATTTGGTTTAGGTATTCTGATCAAGAATCTCATGCCACCTGGACACACATACAAACGCACCACCAATGTAGAGCACTGACATTGCCCGCACATTCGTCTCAAATGGGAAATTGCGAAGGTGGTGGAAATGTTAAATGTATGTCTGAGTTACATGGATCTCGGGGGTTTGTTTGTGTGTTCATGCGAATGTCCAATTCCACGGAAGTTTAGTGTTACGTTTGGCAATTAATAAGCTGCTATCCAACGCTTCGAGTTAATAAATGTCGTCAGTGGAAAATTAAATTGGTCTCTGGGGAACTCCATTGGTAACACAAAGCAAGCATCAAGAATACTCAAGTTGTAGTTGGCTACGAGGAGGTGGACTGTAGCGTCCCACGTTTTATTATTTAAACAAAAACTAAAAATTATTCACAATTATTTGGTCTTCGCCTGAAGTCCAGGTTATGGGTTGGCACATGGTCATATGGCTGTCATTCATTTAGCTTTAATGAATACCCTTCCATTTGTTTGAGACGTCTCTGGACTTCAATTACCGTTACTGTCCAAACTAAGGGCATAGCCTTTTAATTAATACTGGATGGCATCAGCATAGTTGGCCTTAGCGTCGTAACCTGTTTGTTTTACAAACTCGGTCTTATGTCATATAACGGTACGAGCGATGAGCAACAATGGGTCATCAACAGGTTGAGATGTTTGTTATTGTTGCTGTTTATGTTAACTAATTGTTCTTTCGTCTTTCTCTTCCTTGCAGACGTGCAATTCTAGCCAACACGGATGTCTCAGGTACAACGCCATGGCAAAGTGTTTTCCTGCACGACTACTGGGGCACACCGCTAACAGATAGCGGTTCACACGGCTCCTATCGGCCACTGTGCGTCCTTACATTTCGACTGAACTTCCTCCTCAGTGGCTACAATCCATGGGGCTTCCATCTGGTGAACAATCTGCTGCACTGCCTAGCCACTGGCTTGGTGGTGAAGCTGGCTCGTCATTTTCTCTCCTCAGTGTGGGGTGTTTTTGCGACGGGAGCCCTTTTCGCTGCACACCCCATACACACTGAAGCTGTGGCCGGCATCGTTGGCAGAGCTGATTTAGCCGCGTGTGTTTGCTATTTAGTGGCTTTCCTGACATATATGCGTCACATAGCGTGGCGGGAGAAAGGCGACCCCATGCAATGGCTGGCCTTAGGATTAACCATACTGACGTCCATTGCAGCACTTCTATTCAAAGAGACAGCCATAACGGCGTTGGCAGTGTGTGGAATTTTCGACGTCATACGAGGACTGGCTGGCCTGAAGGACAAACATCGCCTACGTAGTCTCTGTGTGCTGGGATCAATTTTAGTCGGCTGTGTTTACTGCCGTTTGGCGGTTATACCGCGACCTCAGACTTTATTCTCGACTGCTGACAACCCCATCGCAAAAACAAATTCGATGTGGACACGCTTCCTGACATTTCTCTATCTGCCCGTATTCAATTTCAAACTGTTGCTGAACCCACAAGTGCTTAGTTTTGATTGGGGCATGAATGCCATCCCCCGAATCACCAGTGTCTGGGATGGCCGCAATATGTTGAGTGTAGGCTTCTACGGGGCACTGACGCTGACCGCATGGCGCAGCTACTGCACTTTACTGAATCGACACAAACGCCTCCAATCTGGCCAGCAGCAATCGCTGCTATTAGCAGGCAGTGCGTACAGTGACACTACATACCACCTGAAACCACAAAGTTTGCGTAAGTCACGAACCAAGCGAAAGTATTGCAAACAAGTGCAGTGCCACACCGCAGGTGCGGTACCGCCAGCTTCGGAACAATGTGATAATTATTACATTATGAGGGCACCGTACTCCCAAACTTCACCCTCTCACAGTGGCGCAACCTGCTGCTCCTATTTAAAACAAAAACTCCTCGGCATATCCTCGCCACAGCAGGCGGTCTGCGGCGACTGCAAATTGGAATTGAGTTCCCTGCACCACTGCACCTCGTGCAGGGTCTTAAATAATAACAATAACAACAACAACAGTATATTGACACTAAGCTCATCGAATGTATACCGCAGCGAGTGCTGCTGTCACCAGTTAATGTCTTCCAGTGGTTCCGTTGGGACACCACAACTTTTTAGTTTTGCGCTACACAAGGCCATCTCCTGCGTGGTGTCGTCACGCAGTTCCCGCAGCAGCAGCAGTTGTAGTAATTCTACGACGGCAAGTAACAAGAGTTCTGATAGCAGTGCTTCCTCCACCTCCACCTGCAGCTCACAGTCGTCGAAGTCCTCCAGTTCAGTCTTATCGTCGCACCGAACACCATCCTGGTCCACGCTGCAGTCGCACGAAGATTATCTCTTGTCGCACATGACTCCCAAATGTGCGAACGCCAGCATTCTACTGATGGCCATGGCATTTCTCACCCTGCCCTTCCTACCTGCCACAAATCTCTTCTTTTACGTGGGCTTTGTAGTAGCCGAACGCCTGCTCTACCTACCAAGTGTGGGATTCTGTCTTCTGATTGGGTTTGGCGTTACTAAACTCTTTGACCGATTCCACTCCAGCAAGTGTCCGCGAAACCGGCAAATGATTCTGGCCAGCCTATTTGTTCTACTCTTCGCGCTGAGTGCCAGAACTGTGAGGCGAAACCTGGATTGGAGAGATGAAGAGAGTTTGTATCGCAGTGCTGTGCAAATAAATCCACCTAAAGGTAGGTATCCCATCTCCTGCAAAAGCTATACAACTGCATAAAAGTTTCCCTTTGACGTGTATTCATATCTTTTTCAGCTCTTGGCAATTTAGGAAGTGTCCTTAGTTCCTTGGCTCGCTACAAAGAAGCCGAGGAAGTGCTGTTAGAAGCCATCAAATATAGGCCAAATATGGCAGATGTGCATTTTAATTTGTAAGTATTGAGTGAATCAGAAATTATGTTATATTCAATTGGTGATCGAACTTGGACTCGGACAAGTTAGCCAAGGCTAGTATCGGGAAGGGCCGACCATATGATACCCTCATCCACAGTGATGACTTTCTGAAATGAATAAATGATATTGGGATGAATATTTGCAAATCATTTCACATCTATTTGTTTTTATTGTTAAAGATTATAATTAGTACACAAATTTAAACTTAAAGGCAGACTGTGGAATAAAAACCTGACCTCAGATAACCTGCTAAAATTGAAATAAAGAGTGAAACTCGCTCGATGTTGAGCGGGAGCACTCCTTGGAGAGGGCATACTCCTTTTTTTAGCATTTCTCAAATAAGGTCGAACAAGCTTTTCTCGTTTTAGAGTGGGAGCAAAATTCGTTCAAAAAGGAACATCCCTAAATATTCGTCGTAGACACCATGAAGTATATGTATATATTCATGATCAGCATAAAATCCTATGTCGATTTAACGATGTACGTCTATCTGCCATTAGTTGAATTTCGCAGAAGAATTTGTATTGTGTCTAGGATGGTTGGTATGAAATTTACATATATCGGTCCACGTTTTGGTATAACCCCCATATTTAATATTTAGGTCCACGTTTTTCTATAGGCATTTATGACGATACCCACTGATATTCGGTATTTTGATACTCCTAGTCACTAAATTGTTTCACAATTTTTTTTTAAATTGGAAATTAAGAAGATTTGGTAGATAACAATCCTTGTAGTATGAAATTGTCTATATAGGTTCCGGTTTTGGTGTGGCCTCCATATAACAGACACACCTACTTTATGGTTTTTTGAAAAGTTTAACAGCATTATCCAAACGGTCGGTTTGAAGTTTAAAGTGGTATACGTTTGAATTCAGATACTTTTATATAAAACTATTTTCTTTAACCTATTAAAAGTTCGACCAACTTAATTCGGCCGAACAAATTTTTTTTATTTGTTTATCATACCGTTGTTATATGTTGTGTATGTATGTGTATTTTCTTAAAATCCCGGGCCAAAAAAATACCCCATAATAAACTTTACATATTGTGGTGTTGGGTATCAAAACGGCCTCAAGTACGGAGATAATATCCTGGCTGTGTATATAATGACACATTTCTCAATCTTTTGGGGTTTTAAGGTTAAACTAGACATTTAGAAATTCTTGGCGATTTGAGTAAATTTGCATCAGATTTAGTCATTTATGTAGGTAAAGATAATGTTGCAGTGTATGTCGTTTTTAGTCCTTGTTGTAGTTACGAAGTCCTTGTTAGTACACATATTTTCATTGTATGTGGGACGCATTTATCGCACCCTTAGCACAATTTTAGCATTTACACAACATTTTATGGCTTTTTCGCTGTTCTCGTTTCATCATCGACATCGACATCGGTGACGTCAACGTCAAAGTCGTCTTCATCATCTGTGACATATCAGCAGTCAGTCATTCGTGTTGTGCATACCCAGATCTGTTTTCCATTCATGTACTATACACATACATACACATTTATTTTGAGTGTGTGTGTGTGTGTAACGTTACATTTGTTCGTCTATGTCTACATACAGACATTCATACTTCCTTCACCTATACAACATATCATTCATCATTTTGTGCCATTTTACGAGCATTTATATTGCTTACAAATCTCTGCATTTAAAAGCGAAAACAGAAAAAGAAAGACCCTCGCAATAACAACAACAACTGCTACAGCAGCAGCAGCGTCAACCAAAAGATAGCAGCATAAAGTGAAAAAAGAAATGTCGAACTGCAAAAAACTAAGCGGGTGACAAAAGAATCTTTTGTATCGGCTGAAAGAGTGACTGAAGAAACCCTACCTTATACCGTTATGCAGTTAGTTGGAATTGACAAAACAAAAAACAAACACACCCACGCACACACACACACAGTCGACAAAATAGATGGAATTCAACTGCATCACTGGAACATGAATATGGAAGTGCGGAGTAAAAGTGAACTGCCACTTCTGGTGGTGACGGCGGCAATTCTGGGCCTGCAGTTAGCTGGAAGTTGCCGACATGAATATGCAAACATGCATGTGGCCTTTACCATGGAGTTTTTGATGTCGAAACGTCATCTTCGGCATGCTGTTCCTTGACGTTGCTGAGGCCATTGCTATTTGCTATTCATCTTCCTAAATGTTGTGGAATTCGGGCTAACCAGGGTTTTGCATTATGCAGGTGGTTTCTGTCAATCTGCAATGAAAATGTACGTGGCTTTTTTTGTCCTAGCATGATAATTCAAATGCAGCGACAGGGCAACACTTCGGAATGTACATTTTCAGACCAAAGTTATTTGGAATATCAATTTTGGTGGACGTACTTCAAATTAGTCTATCGATGGAAGATTGCTCCAATATGAGGAATAGAGAATTAATAAAAAGTCTTTAAAAGATATTGTAATGTTTTGGGGGTGTTGAATAATTATTTAACATAAGACTCTCGTATGGGCTGTCTGATGTAGTTGGATGAGATAATTCGAAAAGTAATAAGTGTTTTGGAAATAAATGGACGGATATATCAAGACTTTCGTTTTTTTAGTAACTCCTCTGAATGCTTATTTCGGTGTATACATTAGCTTCTTAAAATAAAAGAATGATGTCCGAAATTTTCACCGCCTGCTGCAATGCTTCCATTTTAGGCACATTTTTTCAATAACACATATTAGGCACATATTTGCAATAACACTCCATCATTTATAACGACACTTCCATATTTTCGACATTTTCGAAATTTAAACTGATTTTATACAGAATGAATGAATTATATACAGAATGTGATAAGAGAATGTCCTCGATGGAGTATAACTCGAATCGTCTTTTTCGTAGCCTCCACAATAAAGTGGAGAGTATATTATTTTTCTTTTCAAAAACTTCAAAATATTTTATGGAGACCCCACAATATATTCCTGATCAAAACCCATGCCGATTTATTCATGTCTGTTCGTCCGTCTGTTGAAATCACACTAGACCTTTGGTATTATTGCTGTTTTTTTGGTATTTGCTCATTATGTTGTATAGAACCCGATGACGTTTCTTCTACGAGATATCTCCAATATTACATATCAAGGTTTTTAATTTAAAAAAAATCTAATGAATCTTTGTGAATAATACATATGTTACAAAGAATGTTTAAGATACAACATTAGTTATATCAGTATTATAAATCATTTTGAATATCGTCAACACAATCCGTTAGAAATTATCCCCATTAATATAAGAGTGTTTTATGTGTCATTGTCTTGTAATTATTACTCGACATTTTCACAATGCTAATGCGCAAAAAGGATTAACAGAGCTACCCTGTGACTTCCCACAATACAGGTCCTTCGCTTGCAAAATAACTCCATTCCCACCTAACTGTAAATACTCAACAATTCACCTCCACATAATCAATAGAGCTTAAGGTATTTCCGAGATTTGTTTTTCACTTTAAAATGAGAAAACGGAAGAGGAACCACAATAGAAACGGCATACACACAGAAAGCAGGCAGACCGCAAAGCGAATTCAATTCAAAGTAAATAGCGGAAATGTACGAAAAAAAAACATTCAAACCACAAAAGCAACGCGCAAGCAAAGCAAACATTGTGAATAAAAGAAAAAAATTTCCATCGCATAACTTGAAGATGATGAAGTGAATGACGAATAACAACTGTTCGAGCAAAAAACCAAAAAAAAAAAAAAACGCCGATAAGGGTGGAAGAAGCAACCAGCAATTGAAACCACATCTAGCAGAGCAACAATTTACAAAAATCGTTTGAATCGAAAATTGGGAAAATAAATAAACCCAAGAAACAATATGTTGAATGCCAAATCAATTTCGTGTCTCCCGATGGTGGGTGGCACATTCGCCTCCTTCCCTTTTGTCCCACAAAAAGAAAATATACAAAGACATATTCTGCTTATCCTGGGGCAGCATCGTTTGTCTTTGCCATAGCATCCGGCAGAAATCGAATGGAATTATAGATCATATTACAAATACATATTGTTGCATTGTCATAAAGCTATTAGGCATTGGCACATCGGTACGAGTGGGGTCTTACCATGCCTTGGGTTTGTGTGTGTGTGTTCTATGAGTTGGCATTTAGATGTGTTCCGGACGAAATGTTGTATTTTTTGGCATATTCCGTTTCTTTTTTTTTGCATTCATTACACACACACACACACACACTCGAATGTCTGAACATAAGTACATACGTTTTTGGATTTTCATATATCACATTACATGTTTCTGTTATTTTATTATTCCTTTATCTTTTTCGGCAAAGCACAAATGAAGCTTATCGCAGATGTTCACAGACATACGAAATCCGGACAAATATCAAATAGAAAACCATTTAGTTCGGCCAGGACGAACCTTAACACTGAGATCTGTAAGGAACTGTATCTTTAATCGTAAAATTTAAGAGATGGTCTGATATGTTTAGCATATCGAATCTTGTTCATTCTCAATATACCTGCAAAAACAAATACATATTGTTGTTACAACGGACAAATCATTGATATGGTCCTGGGTACTGAATCGACCTAATTTTTCTTAATGGGAAATCGAAAGAACTATTCAATAAAACATAATTATTGGGTTTATCTCGAATATAAAAGAAATAAAACAACACAATTATTTTATAATCGATTGATTTGTTTTTATAGGGGCAGTAGTATCTCTTGATTTTTTCATAAAGTTAAATGTTTTGCTTCCCCAGAATCGATTAAAAAATCGAAAGATGTTTGAACCACGTTAGAACCATGAACAGGTGTTATAAAGCTAGCAGCTGATTACGATTTTATCTGAGTTTACCCGACCTCTGTCATTGTTGTACATATGTGTATTTATTAATTTGATAAAAATCAAAATTTTCTAAATCAATTGTTATTGTTTGTTATGGAGCTCACATAGAAGAATTTTACCAAATTTGCAAGGAAATGTAATTTAAAAAAAATATATATGTGCATTTCATTAACACACCCATTGCATGTGATTTCAAATAATTCTGACAGAAGACTGGCATGCCATCAGGGTTGTATTTAATAATAGTATCTATAAATCAGTTTTCCCTCCTTTTTTGTCATCATATTTAAACTAGGTTCGTAGTGTTGGACTCCTCCAATCAGAAGCTGGAAATAAAATAAATCTGATCCAGTATTGATGACATATCCTGAGAGTATTTTGCATTGCACATTTTAGCCCACTGTATCCTTATGGTATTCCTATTAAAGATGTTGTGATGGCCTCAAGTACATCGAGTATTTTTCATGATTGTTAGTTTGTTAGGTTGCTACTTGCCTGTGTGTATTGACAACAGACCGCACGTCAGTCATTCCGTTAGTCATCGGTATCTGTGTCTGTCAGACCCATGGTGGTCGACTGTAACTGATGGAACATAGAAACTCCAGCATCAGCATCGATACCTGCAGCAACAGTAGCAAGCAGCTGGCATCAAAAAGAGCCGTAGCCTCTCGCCAGTAAGTACAACAACATTTCAATACCAAGCTTCGATTATTTGTTTGTTTGAACACACAACGAGGAATGAAAGGAGCAGGAGGAATTGGAAAAAAAGGTATGAAAACGAGAAATGAAAATCAAGATGAATTCCTATGTTAAGTGTTTTTTATTTCCAACTCAACAAAGGCGAGCAGAACTTCATTGAATCAGATATGAGCCAAGCGGACAAACAGACGAACAGACGGTAGCTGTGGGAGCTGCCACTGAAGCACTGAGTTATTCAAGAACGAGTGAAGGAGCTGTAAAGCAAACATTACAACATTGCCGTGTTCAAGTACCAGTGCGACGAGTAGTCATTGAAAAGAAATCAAATTATTCAGCTCAATGATTATCGGTTTTGTTGTTTGGTCTCGGTTTAGATGCTGTTTGCGGCACACTCCCTGCCACAGCTCCGCCACTCTCCCCCACCTCCGTTAACCACGTTGACTGATGGAGATGGCGTTGCAGTGATGTTCCTTGCAGTGATGATGGTAGCAAATGGTGTTTGAATAGCTGAGCGTGCACTCGCTTCCAGGTCAAACGCAATTCCATTTCGATTTACACAAGTTGAGGAAACAAAAACGTTGAATTGAAAGAATTTCACTTCGTGCTGTCTACACCCACGTGGCCAATGTGGGCGAGGGGTGGTCTATCAGCCAGCCTGGTGTCGAGCACAAGGGGGAGGTCTGGAAACATGTTCTCGTTCCTTTTTTTATAAATTATTTACGAGGTACAAACACTGTTAGTTTTCTGCTGTTTGCCATTCGTACTTGTTACATTAAATTTGTTGATGTTTTTTGGCCGCAAATGTTAACACGCAATAAACTCTTTATTGTTGTTGTTGTTGTTTCTCTTTTGTAAATCTGGTACAACATAATTTGCCGGTAACAGCATGCGATTCTGACTTCGAAGTGCGTGTTGTCAAGGCTATTTTGAATGAATACCCGAAAAGAAAAGGAATCACATCTATTAAATTATAACAAAGCGCGCACGTTAAACGAGATAAATTAGTGTGTATGTGTGTGTGATAAATAATTTATTTATTTAGGCTACCCACCAGTTGAATGTCAACGGCTAAATTAAATTACTGGATATTGTTGACGTATTTATATGTATATATCAACTTTGGATAGGAATACTAACTAAACCATATGAAAGACGAATTTTTCCCATCCTATTTTTTCATTTTTAAATTGAATTTCTTAATTGCCATCAAGTCATATCGATCAGGGAAACGATGTTGTCGGGCTACTGGCCTCTTTTTTGCAATACTAAATCCTTGTATTTGTATTGCTCGTATGCCTTGGAACAGGGTATATAGGGGTTTCGAGTTGAACGTACTCTGTTAAATAGTACCCAAAGTAATTTTAATCCCCGAGAGAGAGAGAGAGAGAGAAGCACACACATTTACACATGAACAATCAGACGGGCAGAAGTCTTGATGTCACTGTAAAAGATAGGCAATGCAACGTGGCACTCCCTTTTGGGAAACGCATAATCTTCAATAGGCAAGGATTGAATGTAGTTGTTATGCACTTTCACAAATATATGTATATACATATGTTTGTATGTATGAGAAAATATGCATGCATTCGTGTAACATTTGCAAAAAGTTTTGCTGCTCACACAAGCATTTCCGTCAGCTCTATGCCATTTCAGCTATTGTCGTTGTTGTTAAACGACAATAGCATTGGAATGTTCGCCAAGTGAACGAACCGAAAACACCCCAGCTAGTGAACGGATTTTCCTACGAATTTGTCAAAAAAAGACAGTAACATCCAATGCAAATGCTAGAAAATATTCATAGACTTGGGCTGTAAAACCCCATTTCTGTCAAATGCAATAGAAAACAAATATTGCATTGAAAAATCTATAAAAAACTAGAAAAATATTGAAATAAATATAAGGTCTTTAAATGTTGTCCCCAGAACCTTAATCGTGTTATTTAAATATTTCATTGGGAGAATAAGTTGAACGGCGGAGCTTTAAAGCTTTTCTTTTGTTAAATAGTAGACTCCATTCATTAGATGTGCCACAAACATTTCTCTGTCAGTTTAAATATACTCGTATTTCTAAAGCATTTCAGGCCAATTAATCAACATAATTTTATTTGGCATGCCTAAGGCATAACATTTCTCCCCCTTTTGAGATAATTTATTTAACGAAAATGTTTCGACATGCACACACATACACAACCGGAGACATTTATTCCGGCATTTTTTCTGTGTGTTTACTACCCAACCACTGCAATTAGCTTTTAATGGAGCAATTTTAATTAATGCCCCCCGCTCTTTCAGTTTTCTATTTACATCTCTTTTTCATTTCATTTCAGAGGAATTTTATATCAGAATCAACAAAATTATAAATCCGCTGTAGTGAGTTTCAAAAAGGCCTTGAATTTTCGACCTAATTTAGCAGGTAAGTGGCGACAACTGGCCAAGTTAACATTGTTACCAAACAAGGCTAATTTTTAACGCATTGCTGCTACACTTTCAGTGGCTTATTTGAATTTGGGCATTTCGCTAATAGCATTAGGCAAATGCCAAGATGCGGCACAGGTGCTGCAGGAAGGGTCCAAGGTGGATGGCACCGGTGTCAGAGATCGGCAAGGCCATGAAAATGCTCGCATTACATCGTACCTGCAATTGGGATCCCTGTATGTGGAACAGGGGAAGCTCCATAGGGCTTTGGCAGTATATCGTGAAGCTCTTCATGAGCTGCCGCACAACTACTACAAGCGTGATGTGCTCTACCACAGAATCGGTGATATTTTCGGACGGCTTCAACAGTGGGATGAAGCGGAACGACATCATAGGGCAGCCTTGGATCTACAACCAAACCAAGTTGCTGCTCATTTGTCCTATGGCATAACGTTGGCCAGAAACGTAAGTCCTTAAAAAAGACCTAAACAATTGAACCCGAATACCATTTTGACTTGTTTCTATTCGTACAGAGCAGCAGAATACATGAGGCTGAAATGTGGTTTAAACGCGCTTTGCAGTTAGCACCTGAGGAAGCCAGTGTTCACCATCACTATGGTGAGTATTATTTTTTTGGAAATCTTTAAAAATTTAGTCGCAGTCGCAATGACAAAATGCCATCCGTATTCGCACATTTCTATTTGTAGCCGAATTCCTAACAACACAATCAAGATTGGCCGAAGCTATAGTTTATAGAATAAAAGCGGCCGAGCTTGCACCTCAAGATTACTCACTGGTGGTGGCTGCTGCCACTGCCTTAAGACTAATGGATCGCAAGCTGGAAGCGGAATACTGGTATAGAAAGGTAAGCATATATGATTTGAAGTTGCAGCTGCAAATCTCCCCCAAATATAATGACCCTTATGCAATGATTTCAAGGCAAAAATACGAAAAAAATAGAAATTAAAGCTAGTTCAACGTTTATTGACAGAGCCTAGGCTCAAACATGCTTAAAGTGGACTTCAATGTGCAAAGAAGTTAACGCTTTGAGAATCTGGTAAACGTTCGAAAATGCTGATAGATTTATCACAAGCCAATTTAGGAATATAAAACTTAAATTATATTCAAGAACAAAGTTTAAATGTATTACTGGCTCGAGCCGTTTAAATAAACTCAGTGAAAAATTCAGTTAGAGGCTCTTCCGCTTCTAGAAACAATTTTGACATGTTTTAAACTTAATTCGTTTATCTTGTCCTCCAGGGCATAATTAATTTCATTGATATGTAACTGTAAACTTACTTTAAAAAATTTCTTTCATACCTTTTTACAGGCTGTCAGTTTACGACCATCTGATGCGCATGCGCATACAAACCTTGGTGCTATTCTTCACCTGCTTGGGCGTACCTCAAATGCTGCCGCTAGTTACAAAGAAGCCCTACGACTTCAACCTGGAGATGCAACAACTTTGGGAAATCTTGCCAAATTGGGACTGACGGACACCAAATAGACAACCGCACACAATTCAAACTAGCAGTGCAAACAGACCAGAAATGTAACCAACGCATACAAATGTATAATTAAATGTGTGCTATATAAACAATGTACATAACCTATACATACACACACATACGCATATGGACTCAAATCGAAGAAACCAACAAATCTTGAAAAGATATGTAAACAAATGTATAATAAGCAACCAACACTAATCTACAGACCAACATTTAAAATTTAATTACGAAATGAAATGTTCGACTTTTTATGTAAATATTTGCAAAACACAAATTGACACAATGTCAAAGAAGATTCCCAAGAAATCTGGTAATTTTGTAACGACCTCTTACTTCGCAAACACGCAAACAGTAAACCTCACCACACCGTCTTCAGACCTGTTTTTCTTATGGTTTACTTCGTTTATATTACGCCATGTGTTTGTTTTATTTTTCATTTTTCGTTGTACATAGCCTTTCCCAAAAAAAAAAAAAAACGAAATCGTTTTTGTATCAATTCCATCCCACCATCCCCACCATTGTAAATAACAACTACACATGTTTCGGGTCTGCGAAGAAGAGCGACAGAACAGAGGGTACATTGTATGGAGTATATAATTTCTGTTAAGTTTACTTGTAGTTGTATTGCATTATTATTCTGTAGATAATTTAACAAATATATAAAGAAATTTATCCGAGAAATTACATTCCTCAATCACCCCACCTGCATATCCTGACCATCCTCCCTCATCCACCACGTTCAGCGTACCCTGACGATGAGTAGAACATTTGCAGTCGTCGTTTCGGACATGTCCAAATGATTACAACAAAGAACTTATCTCAGATAACAAATAAACATATTGTAAATTATGACAACAAATTATATAACGCAAGGAATATATTCGTATAAATATATATTATAAAAAAGAAAAGAGAGAAAAAATATAAATACATAAAAATTGAAAAGAGTAGTTGTTTTATTTCTGTGCTGAAATCCATGAGAACTTCTATTTATATTGTTTTGGCTCAGCCTGGACTCAAGGTAATTACATTGTTATATTTTAAAAGATGGTGTAAGATAAGTTCGGAGGGAATGGAAGAAAATCAGCATATACATATCTTGAAAATGGCACTCCGAAATTCGGTGTTCGATCTACAAGGTAAATTAATGATAATAATCTAAAATAAGAGATATGTTGTCATTTTTACCGAGAAATAGTTTTCCGAAAATATTCAGGGTATATTTATGAATACAGTTGTACTTTCCATAACAAATACGACTAACAAACCAAACTTCGTAAAATGCTCTACACACCGATACATTAACTATCCCTTTTACGACGATTCTTCATTAAATTGTCGCATAATTGAATTAAATTGATAATATAAGTAAGAGACATAAGTCTGAGACTAATTAAATGTATTCTTTCTAGTTCCTAACAATTAGTTTGAATTATCTTTTTTAAAAGTAATGTAAACAAACTACCTTCTGAATCATCTCAGGGTTGAAAATATTGGTCTATTTTTTCAAACGAACTTTATTTAAGAAGTAATGAAAAGTTAAACACCCACACGACCTGTTTAACTACAAATAAGAAGATTGGGGGGTATATACCAAGAGCGAACAAAGGAAAACCACTAATTGACGATATCATGCTTTCTACTCATATGTCGGCTTAAAATGGACGTATGATACCTATTTATCTCGGCCGACATGATAGGTACATGCCTTATCAGCACAATACCTTCTGAACATAATTATTAACAACAATCAAATAGAAATTGGTTATTGCAGGTAATGAAAGTGTCATGTCAAGTTCAAAAATTTAAATAATTATAAATGCTAACAATTGATTGTGATATCAAAAATGTACATATTTTGGAATTCGTAATACTAAATTCAAAACAAATCTTCCTAAAATGCTTAATTTCAATGCTTTCATATCCTTCGTTGTTTTCGTAACGCCATCGCTGGCGTTTTGTAAAATACAACAAAATTTGTTTTATCGTTACATGGAATTTTAGAATCAGAGGCAAATCAGTTGGGTTTTATTGCTAACTTGTAATAATTGTACCACGGAACGACAGCTACCCTTCTCGATGTTTCTGAATTTTGGCTTTCACGATATTGATGTTTTCGATTCAATCGGTTTTTAATAAAATTGCTATACGTAGCAGAATTTCTAAAAAAAAAATACATTTTTGAGACACCCGTTCGAAGTGAATATACCCAATGAAGGCCTACAGGTCGGCCAAGAAGACTACTGCTGTCAACAATTTATATTTATAAACTTGGTAATTTTTGAATTATTGTGATTTGGTTCTCGAATTTCAAATCACAATATGTCTTTTGACAGCAAAATAAGTTGTCAGATGGGCCGACCTCATGTAGGCCACGTTCCCAATTCTTTCATAGGGTAAGTGTGCCAAAGTTCGGCATGTCCCAGTTGTTGGCACTTTTTATTTTTAAGCCCAAATAAATGAAACTATTATAACTAAATGTATTTTGTTTACTTCAAATATATTGTCAGCTATCTTTGTGTACAATTTCGCTAAGAAAAGATGATTTATTCGAATAAAAATTAAATTTTTGTCTGTGAAAGTCCTCAACAATCCATATTCTTAAGAAAATAAATAATAAAGACGTCGAATGAGTTTAACTAAACAAAAATATTATATTTTAATGAATTAATTTATTATTATTATTAATTATTCTCACAAAAAATCGGTATGCCGACTGTTGGAACATGCCATACCGACAATTGGCAAGTGGTGCCGACTACTGGCAAAAAAGCATTGTTTTAATAAATCTACAATTTTATGAAATTTAATAAAAAGTTATTAAAACTTAATTTATTATTGCAAAAACTAAACAAAGTTTCGAATTTGAATAAATTAACTTTTTAATAATTGAAAAGTTCCACTCAGAATGGTGAGCGATTAAAAACGCGAAAATCCTAAAAGTGCCGACTACTTGTACACTTACCCTATGTATTTTTAAAAATAGGTAAAGCATACTGTTACGCCCTTCATTCGTTATTGGGGCCATTTTATGAAACTATTTATTTACATGGATCCAGCACTCCAGAAAACATTTAATCGACAAACAGTTCACAAGAAAAATTTTTTACGAAGATTTGACAGATTCGATTTGACACATAATCAAAAAACCATTCACTTTATTTTTGAAAAAAATATGAAAACATTTTTGCTTCATTATAGATAAGTTCGCACCCCAATCTAAATAATTAAATTGTTTTTGCCTCGCCAAGTCATTAAAATAAAAAATGCCGAAATTAGTGCCAATGTCAACTCCGTTTACTCTGTAAAGCACAATGTAAACAAGTGTTTCGTTCCAAAGATAACCTAATTCAACGACTGTCATTTCCGTTTTTTTTTTTTCATAGCAAGAAACAAAAATTTTTTTATTCTTTTAATGACTGGATTGAAATTGTACTAAAATAAAAAACCCACAACTCCAAGTTATAGAAATGGAAAGAAATGAAATTCTTTCCACTAATATTTTAGAAGGAAACATTACGAATCGAAATAGTACAGTTTATGGTCACCATTTTTCATGGCTCAATATAAACATTAATTTATTTCTTTAAATAAAAGAATTCATTTTATTTCGCTAAAAATCACATAGTCACCCAAACCAAGATATGACTTAAAATAAAACTCCGAAATTAGTGCGAAATTAATCGCTAAAGTCAACTATATTTAGTCACCGAACATTTTATTTTATTTTTTTAACTTGGTTCGCTTTACCTGTGAAACCTTTAAATTTTATTCAGAGTAATAAAGAACCAAAAAAAGATTTCTTTGTTTTTAAAAATTTTTTGGTAATATATTTAAATTATTTTTATTTTAAATTAATATTATTAGTTAATTTTGAATATAGACTTTTACATTTTCATTTGGTTGCTAAACTATTCCTTCCAGAAATTAATGGCAGTGCATTTACTTTACCTCTAAATATCTTCGAATTATGTTTTTATGACTTAGTTCGGTATAGCTGTGAGCCCTTCAAATGTCGATCAATTTTATTAATAAAATTCAGTCTTTTTATAAAAGGTAAGACGCCCGACCCTGATGTGGTTGAGATTCTTTGGCTCTCACTTACTAGCAAAAATATGAATTGCACACATGATTTACAGTTCTGGCTGTATGCGATAGCGTGTACCAAATATCTTGTTATCGAGTACGTTATAGGTTTTGGGGAGGTTAACAACAAGTAAAAGTTGTCCGTAACAAACAAATGCACAAAGACATAATACCCTGTACAATAGGTGATGTAGGGCATAAACATCGTTTCGAAATAATAGTGAAACTTAGATGATTTGTTTTGTTGGCATACAAAATATATTTTCGTTCGCGATCACATCTTTATCAAGATAATGCGTGAGAGTCCGGCATTTTCCCGCATTTCTATCGAATGTCCCAAAGTGTTTAGTGATTTGTTCATTGACCATTTCATTTCTGTGATTAGGCGCAGCACTTTATATTGTAATTAGCACGTAATGACGTTCTTAAATATGAATTTCGCATTGTCAGTCTTACGGCCCTGTCCGACCCCACCCCTTTCTTACGCTCTTCAAAAATAAAAGAAAATTAGCTTTAAAGTAAATTAAACTAATGCCAGATAATGGCGAATGAATGAACATGAAATCGAAAAGAAGAATAAGAAAACGCAATCTCCCTGGACTGAGTGTTGTCCACTGACAGTCGTAGCCGGAATAGCAACAACTAATACCCTAGCTGGGATAATATTGCCACACAACCACTAAAACCACTACTAAAGCAGAGTAAGTAAACCACTAGACATGAGCAAGAACGGCGAAGAATATGAAAGCGAAGCAGTGTGAAGACACACTGTAATGTAGTGCGAACAGTTGTAGTGGCAGAACACTGCAAGCTCGGAGGATGTCAGCGAAGAGCACACCGCGCGACACACCACCTCAGCATCCATCCAACTGGTTACTGCGGAGACAGCAAACCCAAAAGTATCCTCATTACATTGAGTTACTGTGCAGCTTATATTTTTAAGCTACGAAAATAATTGAATTCTTAAGCAGCTTAGCGCCATTATAGCGCTTAGATGGTTGAAACAAAAGAATGTTCGAATCGAACTGAGGCACTGCAAATGCGGATTGTGTTGAATGGAGGAATGGCCGCAGTTTCAATGTCATCTTAGCAAATTTCGTTGTCTTAATACGGGTACATAACGTAAGATTTAGAGATTATATGTTTCAGCGAAATGATGGCTCCCATGACGACGAGGAAACCTAGAGTTGTCCTCAGCAAATCGTTAATGGGTTTCGTTTAAATTTTACTTTTAGGTTACATCAGCCAGGAGCAACGCTGCTAAGGCCTAATGAGTCTAACCAGAAAATGTGAAACGGTATGGACACGACGTGACTTTGTATTGAGTGATATTTAGTGAGTGGTAATATGACCTGGAGTTATTTTCTCGTAGACTAGGGGCCTATTTCTGTATGTCGACAAAGAAAAATTATGCGAAAGAAAAACAACAATTCTATGTGTGTCTTTCAAGTATTAATTTTTCTTCAACAATTTTCGACTTACAGTAACAGCCATGGTAGAAGAATATAGGTAGACGTGTCGAAACAGCTGCTGGGACAATGAACTGTCAAACCAATTTTGGAATTGTAAATGTTGAATGAAAAATTATTTAAATTTGTAAAAATTTTTAAAAAAAACGCGAATTGTAATAGCCTCCGGATGACATAGTATAAGAAAACATATAAAAATCTACCTATATTTGAAAAAACATTAAAATTTTGTTGACATATCGTTGCTTCCAAGCGTAGATGGTAACAGCCACATACTCTGTGAAATTCTCTATATTGGCAGTAGGTTATGGATCTAAACACTTCATTGCACTATACTAGCTACATTTTTAAGATCAACACCACTCGGGATGTTTAGCCGAGTCACAAATT